TTTTTTTCATTTTCATTTTTCTCTTTCTGAAATTTGATTTCCATATACATACATACATACAATATAAAAATATAATTTCTATACATAATTTTGTTTCGTTGTTAAAATGATCTGTAAGAATTTATGATTTTAATGGCCGTAAAAAACACACCTTAAAGGTAATAAGAAAAATGAACAAAATATAAAATAAAAATTCGCGTAAGTGATTTAGATTATAAGATCTAATTCTATTATGGTTTTATATTTTTTGTTTTAAGTATAAGTAACATGCCTCATAATAATAATGATATAGAAAATTATAAAGAAAAACTGAAATACAAAAAAAAATGTAACATGCATTTAACAGCATAGTAACATAATATAACAGAAATTGTTGTTAAAATGTAGTGCAAAAAACTTAACATTTGACTTAAAAAATGAAAGTAATATGAAAAATAAAAATAATAAGAAAACCACAGAAAAAAAATTAAATACATGCATGGTAATATGGTTGTGGTCACTTGTAAAATGACTTTTTTGCACATACACTGAACTGAAAATGGAATATATATATATATATAATATTAATATAAATATATAAATGCATATTGCCTCGATGACAATTTCATTTCATAAAATTTAATTTTGTAGTTAATCTCATATTTTACTAAAATTTTAGTGGTTTATTAGTTAGATTAACTCTTTTAATATTGCCCCATTTCATTCATTTGTATATATATATTTGCGACAGTGTTACAGAACTGCTCAATAGTATAGAAAAAATCCGGAAAAAATTTCAAAATTAAAATGTTTTTTTCTCAATTTTTAATTTCTTTAATTTATATGTATAGTTAGATGTTGTCCGATTTATAATTAATATGATTTTTATTAAAATATATTACTAATATTTATCATTGATTGACCGTAATATTATTAAAATATACGATATATTAGTACATACACCACAATTAACATAAAATTATTCTATAGTAAATTTATTCAGAAAAAAGTCTCTTAGAAATTAAAATTATAAAATATAATATGCACTCAATATATCATAAAGGTGTGTTTTATGTATAATAAAGTATGTTCATATTAAATTTGAAATATATAAATTATTATTAATTACATAAAAGAAAATATGAATTAATAATAAATTAAATTATAATAATATACAGAAGTATAATAAATAAATTGCATTTTTTATATAATTTTTTATAATAAAATACTTGTTAACTTAACCATGTAACATACGTCGCTTTAATTATGTAATGCATTTGTAACAACATATTGTACTATTAAAAATTTTTATAAACAATTCAAAGAAACTCTTAATGACTGCATTTCTACGACTTGCATTTTATTTTGTATCTTGCTAGTATCTGCTCTGGTTTATTTCCCGTAGGTCAGAACTAGTGTCACACAAGCCTTGTAAGTTCGGATTTTATTGTCGATTCGCATTAAATTATTTTTCTAGATTATGTCTCGGAGATATCCTGCTATAGAAACAGCTTTAGCAGATTGTATTTTAATTTGTTTGCTCAGTTCTTTCGTTGATGTTACCAAAGAGCCAAGATAGTAAATATTAAACTCCATCACTTGTTTAATCTTTTTATTGTTCACTGCAACTCTAAGGGAATATTTGGATATTGTCATTGATTTTGTTTTACTAGTAGGTATCAGCATGTTGAATATAGTAGTCGTTGTAGAACACATTCGTTGTCTATAACCAACACTGGATATTGGCGTAGCAGATCACTTCCAGTTCAAGATCGCCAGTTCCACTTCATTCATAGTGTTTATAATCTTATCACAATAATGTTAAACAGCATTGGACTAAAATTACCCTCTTGTTGGATGTCTGCTGCTGTTGCAATCTCACCCCAATTTTGATAACGCTATTATTTTGGGTGCTAAGATCTTATACAGTCGCTATTATATTTAAATTACCTTTTCATCAAATGTATAACACCTTGAAGTTATACTCTTTCGAATGCTTTGATAAGGTCCTCGCTGTTCTTCTGTTCTTCTGTTACTAAATAATTTCTGCATTCTAATTTCAATATAAAAAATACATGATTAATTTAATTGATGTTAAAATAAAATTATCTATAATTTTCTAAGAATTATTATTTGAGAAACAATTTAAGAGGAGAATATTAAAAAATTTCATATACTCGTAAGTATACCGAGTTGAATTTGCCTAAAGGAAAAAACTGGGAATTATTATACGCAGATATACTGTTATATCGAATTAATTTCCGTTCTATAAAGTTTTAATACACAGAATATTTAATTTTTATTTATAAGTTACAATTTTATTGTTGTATATAAAATTAAAAATGTATGTATATTATCATTGGATATGCTGTGCGATATTTGCAGATAATTATAAAGCGCCAATATTTTTGATTTGCAATATATAAGTATAGAGCATATTTTTATTATCACACGCAATAATAATTAATAAAATATTATGTACGCCCATATTCCGTTCAAAAACAGTTTACGAAAGTCATAAATTTGTCAACTAGATCTTATTTTAGGAATCAAGGAAGGAAAATGAAAATTAATAACTAAATAAATATATTGGTATGGTTATTATATTTAGTAATGTTATAATTATAAAGTATGATCGGATATAATAAATTTAAAAGCTAATATACTAATTTTGAAAATTCATTTTGAAATTTAGATCACAAATTATTAAGAATAAATTATTGTATTTTAATTAAATTTGTAAGTAAATTTGAAAATTTTTGAATTTTAAGCATCATACACATATTTTTTATTTTTGTATACGTCTAGTTGAATTCTTTCAAAATTTATTACACATTATGCATATATGCCTTTTGTTCTTAAATGTCATGAATCTTTTATTAGTTTACTAATTTTATTAAACAAATTTAATTAACTTTTTAAAGAAATCTTTAGCAATTATGTTATCAAAACACAAGAGCACTCTGTTACGCGGACTGTACACTTTAACGCTTTCAAACTGAGTGCATTAATCTGTCACTTATGACTGCTTAGTTGAGTGCTACCATGCGTTTGCAAAATTTTATTTTGGTTCCGAACCATTATTGTGGCCACTGTTCTATAAAAAATAAAATTTGCAGAAACAGTTCTTCACTTATGAGTATTTGAGTAGATTTCCGATTGATGTGTGGCTGTTTGGGTATATTTTGCTTTTTAATTAAATATACTGTGATTATAAATATATTTAGCATTAGTAAAACATTTAAATGGTATATAAAATGGTTTGATCAATAGACTAACAATAATTTAATTTTTTCGAAAAATTACTTTTTAAATTTTAAATATTTTAGGCACGCTTTGCACGACATCTTTTAATTATGACTATAATAATTCTATATTTGCAACTATCATCACTGTTTAATACATACTTATTGTTTATTACTGTTTAATATAAACTTATTATAACTTGTCTGCAGTCAACAAGCCATTTTTTTTAAACTTATGAAAAATAAAAAGTGATTTGTTTCGTGCGTATCTAATTATATTTTTTATCGTAATTTTAAATTGGCAGCACACAATACGTATGTATGCACAATAATATTTATGTATGTCTAGAAGTGTAATATGGTCCATGATAATTTTCTATTAACATAAAATAATGTAAAATAATAATATTTTTACTTATATTATTCAATTTAATTGTGGTTTATTACGATGATTTAATTTAAACCACCGCTTGGTACAACTTTAATTGATTTATAAATGAATATTTTGATTTTTAAGATGTAAGCCGCTATGATGTGTACATATATAAAGCAAGAGTTGCGGGTCATAAGTTAATAACCGCAAAATATTAAATATTTTTATATTAAAATATTGTTAAAGAATTAAGAAATGGTTTTAAGAAAACAAAACTGTGTAGAAAAATTAAAACTAATATTAGAATTAAAACAATTAATGACAAAATTATGAAAAAAAAAATTAATTATTCGCCATAAGACGTGAATTATGTAAACACCACAGGTGAAATATGTATATAAGCTAATTGATGTTGAATAATTAAATACAGTAAATAAGATTAATTAAATGTTCAATAGGAGAATGTGTTAGGTACGCTTATGTATATATGAAAATTTTTGTTTTAAGTTTTGAGGCACTTCCCTGTTAATGTAATTTAATATTCATTTCTCAATTATGTTACTTACAATTAAAATGTTTAATGAAGTAAAAAAAACTTAATTAAATAATACAAGAGTAAATTCAGGAGTACATAAAAAATTGAATCGATATTAACTTAAAAATAACGGTAACTTACTTCGTTTTAGGTGTAACATAACAGTTATATAACAGTTATCGTAAAGCTATTCCAAGCTAATTGTATCAAGATGATGATATGAAATTAACCCATTATGTTCTTACTTCCCAACAACTTTTATGTGTCGTAAGAGCGATAATCTGCACATTCTGCTTTCTTCTCTCTAGAGAAGTAGAGAAACTCTTAGAGTTTGATCTACAAAGAAAATATTATATATAAGATAAATTCTTTACAATTATGAAAGAGATACTTATGTGTAGCTTCTCACAATGCTCTTCAATTGCTGCTTTTTAAAAATTAAAGGAGAAAAATTTCTGCTCGGCATAGAAAAATTTTAAACTTATTCTAGAGATAAGAAAAACTGAAAGTACTGAAATCACCTGACAATGTGGCCGTACACAATATTATAAACTAAATATTTTTGCAGGCAGCTCATATTTAAAAATAATTGTTTTTGTTCCAATTTTATTGCATATTTCACGGAGCAACTCAGTATAATTTAACGTAAACAATGACAGAAAACTTCTTTGCTACAACAGGCAACACATGGCAATATTCTTTTGAATCTTGACATTTATGAATAATTTTATGATTTTATTCTTTTTTTTTTGTTCTTTAAGTCTCACATTTAAATTGGAATTCTTAAATAAATTTAAAATTTTATTATTAAAAATTTTTTTTATATATATTAGACTTTTAAAATTAAAAGTTATTTTTTTTATTGCAGGTAACTACATATTTCCATTATTTAATGAAAACAAGTTCTTCAGATGTGCGACTGCTGGTATTGTAAAGAATTCAAATAATTTTTGTACCAAATTTAGAAAAGGATTAAAAGAAGCTGATTTTTTCAGTAGGTGGTTAATTTTGCACTTAAAATATTTTTCAATATCTTTGTTTTTCTTACCTTATTTTTAAATATAATTTTAGAATTTGATTTTTAAAGCTCAGAAATTATTGGGCGCCATACTCTCTTAAATTGTCGTCTTAATTCGCTATTTTTTTCCAATTTTAATTTTCCATTCACACCCTGAAAATCTAGAAAAGACAAGATATAGTTTTTAAGTGCATACACTTATTTTTAACTTAAAATAAAAGTAAAGTAAAATTACTTTTTATCTTGTGTTGAACAGCTTGAATTTATTACTTTAAATATGAAACAGAACAACCTACAATATCTAGATATACATTGTTGAACTGGTTACAATAATTGTGGTTTCTGGTTTTGGTTAATTTTTATTACCTTATTGTGTAAGTGAAAAATTATTGCTATAATTTTAATTTTATAAAATGTGCACAAAGATTTTATTTTATATTATATTCTTTTCTTAATTTTTAATTGTTTTGCGGGACAAACTTGAATAAGTTATTTAAATTGTTGTTTTTTTAGAATAAACAAGATATGTAAAATGAAATTAAGAAAAATATATGGTAATTGAAGGAAAAAAGTAAATGACTAAGTAAGAACACTAACAATTCTATATAGATAGAGAAAACAAGCATTGGCCAGAGCATTAACAAAGAATTTAAATTGAATGTTTATTGAAAGTTTAGAACAGTGGCTACTCTAAAATAATTAATTAAGATTTAATGATTACAATTGTTTTAAAAATTTATTTGTCATTTGCAAAAATACACAATGTGAATTAATTTTTCTTTTTTAATTTTGCCTATAAGTTAAAGTAAGTTTTTAATTGATTTGAATAAACAAATTTATTGTACTCCATAATTCAAGCTCAGCGACGTACACTCAATTTTGAGGGATTTTTACAAAAAAATAAGGGCTGAATGGAACTACTAGTTTTATATAATTTCAATAAAATACTTAAGATAGCGTCGTGGCGGTAATGTGAAAATTGTGAATGTTCGTTACGTATTTGAGTCACTTTACGTCGCATTGTTACGTCACGTATTTACACATATACGGGTTGTATGAAAGAATTATCTTCTTTGTCAAAAATGAGTGTCAAAATTAGACATTTAATTTTGTTTGGAATAAAATTACATGTAATTATAAATATTAATAATATTTAGACTTTGGCATTTTCAGACATGGCGTTTTAACAAAATAGTTAATGAATATTTATTAAGTTTTATAAAACTTTAATTACAAAAATTGAGCAAAAAATGTTACAATTTCCAAAATGTATTTAAGAAATTTTAAATTAAAAATTATTGCAATTACAAAAAAATACCATTTGAAATTGCATTTGGTAAATTCGAAAATATTTGGTTTAACAAGTATTTGTACATTATATGACATGAATTTATTAAAGCCTATAAGAACCATAAACAAAATTTAATCACAATTTTTAAAAAACAGAGAAAAAAATATTCTCAAAATGAATGTGTGTAAAATTAAATATATGTAAAAGTAAAACAAATAAATAGTTGAATTTTACATTATACAAACACATTTGGTATGACAACAATTTTGTTGTTTAATTTTTTGTTTTTTGTACATTTAATTGAAATTTAATTTTTGATGTTGCGTACTGATTTATATTTTTGTGATATTTAAGTTATGCGATTCGTAACAAACATTTTTTTACTTTTTTTTTTAACAATGTTCTTTTAGTGAGATAACATTAAAAATTACGGCAATGAAAATAAAACTTAAGAAAAAATTCTTAACATCAAACCCAATTTGAAATTCGCATATAATATTATGCGCATTATCCATTCTACAATGTGAACATTTTTCACTCAATTCAAACTCCCACATTCCTAAATTGTAAAGTGGTAACAATTGTTACATATTTAAGTAAACTATATAAGTACGTAAAGTATTTTTGTTTTCAATGTACTCTCGGGTATGATTAAATTATCGTATTCTGTAAATATCGTATACTCGTAAAAATATTTTTGAAATTATTTTAGAACGTTTTAATTGCGGTCAATAATAGGTACAACTTTTTGAATAAAGTTTTTAAATCAACCGACTTAAATATTTATGTATTAAATTATTGTAGAATCGTACTTTCGAGAAAAACAATATTAAATACCTGAATTCGATAAATATTATGTATTATTTTCGCTTAAAAACCAAGGCTGTAAAAATTTATTTCAAATTTTTGTAAAAAATTTCTACTTGTCAATTATATCGTGTATAAGGATCTATTGTGCTCTAATCCCCATCCAATAAGGGGTATGTCCTACAACACCCGCTCGAGGCCCGCCCTCCTGCTGAATTCGAACATCCTGCGAACTCAGGCAGTGTCCCGAAAAAATTCCGGTGAGAGCTTTCATCTCACTCTTGCACTTCCTCAACCCTATATAATCTTGTTAAATCAGTTTTGATCGTACTCTCTCAGAAGGTCCAGTTCTCCAGCTGCACCCTACTGAGGTACATCTGCAGTAGTCCCGATAAAACCCCGATGAGAATTGTCACCTCACTCTTACGTTTCCTCAACCCCATAATCTTGTTAAATCAGTTCTGAGCGCAATCTGCCAGAAGCGCCTTTACCTTTCGTAGCCCCAGAAAACTACTTCAGCGCTCCGACTGCATCTTCTCTAATTCTTCTCTTATAATTTCCTAAGAACAGAGTGTGGTTCGATTAATGTCTAGTTATAAATAATTTATGATTTTTTAGAACTATACTTATTTCGTATTCGAGATCTACTGAATGTACCATAACACATTCAAAGTAGAACAATTGAGGTTTTTAAAAATACAGAAAAATAAAAAATAAGATGACAATTGTTAATATTTTTTTCTTCAATTGTTATTCCTAAAAAAAAATTTATATTCTTTTAAGTAAATAAGTAGAAAAACAAACGCATATTTACATTTAGGTGCACATTTACTTAAGGTTTACGTGAAACAAACGCAATTTCACTAAGAAAACGCAAATATTTAATTTTTTTTTTGGTCTACTACAAGAGACAACTAAGTACATTATTCTGATAATTTTTCAATTCAATTTACAATGGTGACATTAACAGTTTTATAATCAGTTCACAAATTGAGTTCTCATGTTCAATTAAAAAATATTCACAAAATAACAACTATAAACTTTAACTCCCTTTTCCTGTTTTTGTTACATTCTTTAACATTTTAGCTCCTCTTTTCTTTAAGATGGTTTGAAAAATATACGAATAAAATTTGAATAAAAGAATTTTGAACAAAAAAAAAAGTATAAGTAAAGAAGAATAATTGCAATTGCTTTTGAAATACTCAAGTGTTGTCTGACAAATCTTTGGAATTTCCTGCATTTTCTTATTCATTTTTCTATTTCAAAGGATTTTAGTTTTTTAATTGTAGGTATTCCAAATGGACAATTTTTTTTTTATTTTTTTTACACTGTTCTTTTCTATTTTATCATCGTTGTTACTTTTAATACTATTGCTTCGTTGTTAATTTCAATTGTCACTTACATTAATATGTAAAATATGAGCGCAAATTTATATGACAAAAAAATTTGCGTCGGAGTTTGTTTCTTTGAATTAAAGTTTGAACAACAAAAAAAAAACAAAAAAAATGAAGAGTGTTGGCTGGTGTGATGCAAGCGAAGCATTGCAAATAATTTATGATTTTGTTTATTTTCAATTAAAGAATAACAAATCTTACATATTTCAAATATAAGTGAGTACATACTTTCGATAGGCATATAGAAATGTGAAATAAAAACTCGTTAGTCGAGTATTTCCGAAATTGTGAAAGTAAGCCGTCTCTTTGCTTAGAATCTTAGATTATTTACCACATAAAATTGGTGGAATCAAACAGTATTCAGAAGTACAGAAACCAATAATAAATTTAATGTTTGATTTTCACTTTTTGGTTCGAACTAGGAAAAGACACACAATATATGACACACAATACTTTAAATTCAAACTCTTATAGATTTCTGGGTTCATTAGATGAAAAGAGCCAAGAAAAAAGGAAGAGTGAGCTAATAGTATACGTGAGGTTAAGATTTTGCAATCTTGCTAATGATTCTAGTGAATATAATGAAATATAAGTGGGAGTGACAGTAAATGTGAAGCTTTTTAGTATTAGATAATCTTCTTCTTCTAGCGGCATATTATAGAAGCGTGTGCCAAAAGCTAAAAGCAGTCATCTTTTTCGGTACATTATAAAACTTCATAGTTCAAAATCAATAAAGAGTATCAGTATCAAGTACACATCTGGCAATCTTTATTTTTTTGCAATATTTTAAATAAATTTTTTGCAAAATTTATAAAAATATTTTGTTATTTTTTATTTATTTACAAAAGTATCGTATGTAGATAAATATTTCAATCTATTTAATAATTTATTTGATATTTGCGTCTTTTGAAGAAAAAACAAAAAAACCAAACACGAAAAAATAAGCAAAAGTTTTTTCAATAAAGTGTGAAAAAAATACCAAATAAAATTTAAATTCAAAAAAAAAATAACCTTACTTTTATAGTAGTTTATTGTAATATAATTGGATTGTGTGTGGAAATTATGAAATTTATATACAGACATACCTGACTGTGCTCCTATATAGAAATTTTCTGATTAATTATTTAAATATTTTTTTTGTATTACTTATTTAATAGAAATGCTAATCATAGACTAATAAATTTGCACAAAATCATTATTTGGAGCGCTCTCACCCTCTTCAAAAATTTCCTCTCTTTCTTATATATTCTGACATACAAGTTTGTTGTAATTCACTACAAAAAATAATAAAATCAAAATATTTTTTCCAATGAATTATGGATTTTGAATTTTAATTTGGCATTTTAGTAGATCTTAATAAGATTTATTATAAGATGATCTTATCATTTTACACCGTCTCTAAATTGTTCGAACTAATTTACATATTCGTACGTATGGCTGGGTTATACGTTTATTTTATTAGCATACATAATGTATAAAAACATAAAATTATACAAATTTGGGTATATCGGATTGAATAAAATGTTTTAAAAAATTTAAAAGTGTTATAAATTATTGTGATTAAATTGATTTTTTTTTTTTACAAATTTTTGGCTACTAAAAATGTAAGTGTTATACCGGTGACCGGCATTTTTATTATTTGTAACAAAAATTTTATAGTGGTTCAAAATAATGATTTAAAGATGCAATAATATTACAAAATAAAATGTTAATTTTTTTTTATTTTTATTAATGATTTTAATAGCCGGTAAATTATTGTTATACGCGCACACTCTTTAAACA